GGGATTCTGGAATCAAATGGTAGGTCAACTTTTTGCCATCCCACCAGCAGTGTTAGAAGTGTTCCCTTCTCCTCACATCCATGCCAACATCTGAAGTTTGGAGACTTTGTAATGTGGGCTAATCTTACTGGAGTTAAGTGACATCTCAAAGTGGTTTTGATTTGCATTTATCTTAAGAACAGAAAAATTATCCAATGTATTCAATACTAATATGAAACGAATATATAAACAATTACATGCTCACACAAATGATAACACAAATATAGTCTAGCAACGGTGCAGGAGTAGGGGAGAAGGCAGAGGTTGAGGGAGAGCAACTGGCAAGATCTCATCTAATGCACACAGTGCGGGGGTGTTCAGCATGCCCCCGAGTTGAGGGGCTCTTCTACAACTTGTATTGTAGCTTGGAAGTGAGAACAATGTAACCTAAAAATTCGTAACTTCATATTAATTTGAAATTTAAAAAAAGACAACAAAGAATTCTGCTTTAGGAAGTAGACGATAGGATAAACCACTGAGGTGTTTCTATCTGGCATTTAGGTATTTACTAAATATATAGCTTGGACATGTTAGCATACTTATGTTCAAAATTACAGAAATCATGTTGATTTAAATGCTATGTAGGACAGAAATAATAAAGCACATATATTTATCAGTACTTAGCACATTAGTAAGCACTTGGTAAATCAGCAGTACTATTATTGTTGCTTGCCAAATAACTTTACAGATGGGTCCAAAAATTCAAAAGCTGCTGATGCTTTATTTCGAGTTGCATGCCAGAGGTTCCTGGTTAGGAATGAATACAGAGTATGCTCCTAAGTTAGACATTCAGATGATTCATGCCAGTTAATATTTCTTCTGCATTTAAACATATCTATCTAAATGTCTTATACTTTTATTTTAAAGTATTAGATAATAAGAAAAATTGCAAAGGATAATTTAATAAATTTAAATTCACAAAACCACTTCTACCTCTAAGAAATACTAAATGTTTCTTATGTTCCCGTCCATGATAAACTCTACTCTCTTGCTCCAGATGTAATTTCCTGCCTGTGTTTCATTTATTCTTCCTCTGTTTAATGTTTATTACTCCAGCGCATTCCTATATTCTTCTACTATTTAGTTATTAACCTCGGGATCAATGTAATAATTTTGCCTGTTTTGAGCCCAAAATGATTCTTTTCTTTTCTTTTTATTTATTTATTTATTTTTAATCATAAACACATAGATCATGTATACATTCATTTATGGGGTACAATGTGCTGATTTCATATAGAATTAGGAAGGCTTATATCAAAAGGTTAATATATACCTCATCTCGTTTACTTAATTATTGTGTTAAGACATTGATTGTTTTCTTATTTTGCCACTAAACTTTTGAATCCAACTGGTGTGGTTCACGAATAGTGGTTTACATTTCCTATCACTGATGTACTGAACATGATTGTGTAACAATAGCATGAATTAATTTTCCGTTCTCTATTGATGAATATATAGGTCACAGCTGCAGGTTTTTTGTCAATATCAACAATGCTGCCATAAACATTATTACACATTGCCGTGTGTATGCATGAGTGAGAAATTGTCCACATTGTATGCCTAGGGGCACCCTTGCTGGGTCAACAGAGGCCACGCATTTTCATGCTTCTAGGAATTTCCAAGTTTTTATCCAAAGTGATTCTATAATTTATGCTTCTACCAACACTCTAAATGTATCCTCTGAAACATATTTTTATCATTTCACATTTGTCCATCTGACTACTGGCAAATTGAATGAGACCTGCTAAACTTACTTATAATTCTTCTTTCCTTTTTAAATTGC